TCAGCAGGCTGTTAAAATTAAACCAGTTTAGATAACGCGGCTAAAAATGTTTTTCTTGCTGAGGCTGTGCAGATGAAAGGGGAAGGTTGTGAAGCTACCAGCAAGACCAAGAATAATGGAGAACAGTTTTGACTACTGAAGAATTGCGAAAATAAAACAGAGCAGCTGAATGTGGCAGTGCAGCTTGAAGCCAAGTAACCGTGTCTGGTTTTATTCAATGTTTTTGGAGTGATACTTCTTATTTTCTGAGTGAACTGCTGAGGAATGAAATCTAGAAATGTTTTTTTGAAGTGACTGCACTGACAGAATTCATCACAGGAAGCATTTAGCTACTGATGGTGTTCTAACAAACCACAGGCCTCTCTAGTAAAGGGTATTAGTGGCGTGGGATTTCTTTAATGGCCAGCAAATAGCAGTGAGACACTCCTCTTGTCAGCCTGAAACCCCTAGGTTGGGATGGGGGTTAGCTTTCCCATCCCTTGCAGCAAAGGAGGTGCTGTCCCAGACAGACCCTGTCTTGCCAGACCAAACTGACTTGGGGGCAGCCTCAGCCTGTCACGCTGCCGTTGCTCTGGAGAACGGAGAGCAACACAGTGGTTATCCTGGTGGCCCTGCTGACCGACCCACCTTTGGCTGGTCTGGTGGGGGTTTTGCAAGGCTGATGGGAGGTGTGGAAGGAGGAACTCCCAGCCGGTACCACGAGCGCTGGGAAGAGGGGCGTGGTGGCTGGGGAATGTAGGCAGAGAGGCCTGGGCAGGCTTGCAGCTTGGTTCTGCCATCTTGTTCCGGAAAGTCCTTGGTTATTAAAGGGCTGTGGTAAGGTAAACCTCGTGGAAGTAGTTACAGTAGTTGACCAGAAAACTTTGATTGGATTTCCTGTGGCTTCTGTTAAAGGGAGGAGCTAGATGTCAGCTGTTTTACTCATCCTACCAGCTGGAGAAACTTCAGTGACCAGAGCAGTGGAAGCTGACAAATACAGAGAAATGAGCTACAGGAAGGTAGCTGGAGAGACGGCTGTGTTTTGAAGCTAAATTGACTGGCAGCAGCTGGGTGTAAGGTGGCAGAGAGGTTCCCCTTACTGAACACCAAGTGTTAATCTGTGTGCAGGGGGGGAAAGCAGCGCTGAAGCTGGTGGAAGGTGCTGCGGGTACTAAACGTGCTGTGTCCCTTGTTAAGGGACAGCAGTTTAGGACTAGTGACTTGTAGATGCCTCCAGCTGAAAATTCAAGACTTCACCCCCTGAAGCTATATTCTGAGAGGTGGCTGAATAAGCGGTCTGAGTGTCAGTTGATGGTAGAGAATAATTAACCTCTTAACTCTTTCACAAGTGTACAGTAGAACATCCGGAAGAGGAAGAAGAGGTGGTTCTTTATGCCAGAACAAGGAATCTGTTGACTTAAGAACAGTTTATTACTGAACTTGTTCCAGAAGCTTTTAACTTGAAACTTGTAGTTCATTGGTGAAGAGTCTACAGAAGTACGTAGGAGAACGGAACGAATTGGGTTTCTGGGTTCTTGGTGTGCTCGTCACTGAGCAGCTCCCTCAGTTAAGACTTAGTGAAGCTTTTGCTTTTGTCCCACCTTAAAAATGATCTGCAGTTCTTTGCTTTGTGGCCTCTGTTCCAACCTGTCGTGAAAACAACAACAGAGTTACGGAGTGCGTGCTGTTCTCTCTCACTTTTCAGCTCATGTCTTTCCGCACCGTAGCTCTGCCTCCTGCTCCACGGCACAGTAGCAACCGATGGAAGTTTGAACATTTGTGTTTAGTGCCTTCCGACTTTGAACTGCTGTCATCTCCAACTTGCTTGGAGGATGCACTGTGACAACTCAGCTGTTGCTGCTGTCGGGGAAGGGACATATGGAGTGGCACTGTTTGGTTACAACAAGCCGCGAGAAAGCAATACAAAGGAGTGTTTGGCGTTTCGTGAGGAGCGGGGGCAAGGTGGCCCTGACATCTCACGTAGGGTTGTCCCAGCATGCTCTGCTTATCCCTTCCTGCTCTCTCATCTCTGCTCCGGCGTGAACGTAGGAATGTGCACGTGCTGTTTGTAGCTTTGCAGGCACTCTCCCGGCTCCTTCCGTGGTTGAAGGCTGGTGCTACGCCGAGTGGCATCATATGAGTGGGATGTGGCTTCTGGGATGTACACGGTATGTATTTGTAGTGACACTTCAAAGTTCAGGGCTTTGTGGCTGGTATGAGTGCATAAGCTATGCTTTCTTGATTCATTTTGAATGCTATTATACAATTAATCCCTCTCAACCTCCCTTATGCTCAGAAAATAATTGGATAAAGCCTCTTAATTCTCTGCAAGGCTTGCAGTTTTTTAAAACAGTTCTTAAGTAGCTGTGAGCAGCTCGTGCTTCCTTCATCTCAGTTGGACCTGTCTGCTGTTTGACTTTTGGTTAGTGCTTCTGCAAGTCGTTAACAGTGAGGTTGGCTGGTTTAGGGAAAAGCTGAATTTCAAGCGTGGGAGCAAGGATGTTTTCTGAGAAGGCTTTCAGGTAGGGTTTCAGAGAACACTTCGACCTTGTGTTTCAGGGCTGCAGTCAGATACATCCATCCAGGAGGTTACCTGTTGTGGTGATACTGGAAATGTGGTCATGCAAAGCTGCGTAGTTAAATGGGAAGGATTTTTGTTCAGAATCGCTTGACTTCAGTATGTGGGGTTACTGCTCCTTGGTGGTGTTTGAAAAAGATGCTAATGGCTGGAGGGGAAGCAAGTGTGCGGGCTGACTTCTACAGGTGTCTTCAACTGCACTTAAACTCTAATTCAGTATCTCTTTTCTCTCCCTAGTACTTTTGTCCATCTGTTCTCTGTTGTGTGATCCCAATCCAGATGATCCTTTAGTGCCTGAGATTGCACGGATCTACAAAACAGATAGAGAAAAGTGAGTATGGAAGCCAAAAAATAAGTAACATTCTTGACAGAGCAGAATCCACACTTAAATAGTAACGGGGGACTGAAAAGACCTGCTTCTTGGAAGAGTGTGGACTTTGATTTGCCTTTTCCACTTGAGCTGTGGTCTTCTAGAGACTTGCTTTCTTTTTCCCTGGCATCTGTAGTACCAATAGCTTAACAGAACTGCACTGCTGTGGGGAAAAAGCTGGTTTTGCCAGTAGAAGTGAAGGATGTGGAGGCCTTGTACTTCTGTGGTTTTATTGCTCCATTTCCATTCCACACAATGGTCTTTCATTAGCGTTGTAGCTGTTGATTACACGTTTACTTGATGTAATGAAAATGTGAAGTGAATATGCAAATCTCTTTCATACGGAGCTCTACGTTGGCTGGGACTGGCTTTAAGAGCCTTCGCTGGCTGCTTTAAACCTACATAACCAGCAGAGGGAGAACAAGTTACTCTAGTGGGAGAATGTTTCCTTGCTAGCTGTTGGTGGTGGAATCGTACAAGCAAAGAAATAACAAAAATACCCTGTTTCATCTGCATTTGACAGCACAAGGGAAGAACAAATGGTGTAGAGGTGGGGTGGGAGGACTCCAGGCTTCTGTGAAGTGAATGGCAAGAATGGAGAGCGCTCTAGCACTGCTGGGCACTTGAAAAGCAGCAGCTCAATGACTGTTGTAAATGCTTTTCTGCCTCACTGTTCCCTTCCAGATCTGATCAGTAGTGTTAATTTCTGAAGCTCCCTGGTCGTTTGAGAGCAACATAGGAAGGGACAGTGATCCACACACTTGCCTGCTCTGCTGCGTGCTTGAGAAACAGCGTTAGAGTTCAAGCAGCCTGGCTTTCATGAGCTGCAGGAGTAGCAGTGGGTATTTTGAGACGCAGCTGACAGTGGCTGACTGCACTTAATGTATGCAGGACTCTTTCCTATTTTTTCCAAAAATAGGGAAATAAATTTTATGCTTAAACATAGCTGGACTTGCTGCTTGAGTAGTCTCTGAACAGTGGATGTGAAGGTGAGAGCGTTTGTTACCAGTGGATTGTCAGATTCTTTAAGGTAAAGAACCTTTTCTGTAGACTCCAGCCCAAGAACCTCATTGGTGTAGATAGCTACGAAAATTCTTGCTGTAAGTGTCTTGTATCTTTCCATTCTGTAAAATCACAACTGACCTTCTGTTGTCAGACAAAAGCTTTTGGCAGTGCTGTTAATCACGACTGCTTTGTTTTACCTGAGTGTCCTGAGCCGCTTCTAGCGGCGGCTCTGGCTGTGAAGGGTATTTGGGTGCAAAAGCTGCAGGTGGCTCGGGAAACAGAGCATGTTGTGCCTTCAGCATGAAAAAAATCTGGTGGACAAGTCGTTGTGTCCTGGCTGTCACTGAAACAGTCAAATGCAACGAGTAGCAAGGAGTAAGCCTGCCGGGGTTGGGCAGCCTGGTAGGTGCTAGGTACTGAGCTTAACTTTTGAAGGGAAGAAGAAGAATGAGGTGGGAGGGCTACATTAGTATGGTTTTTTCCAGAATGCCAGAATTAAATGATAGTAATCATTTCGCCAGGGATGCAGCAGTTAGGGGCTGGGGGAGGTGCAGGTAAAGACTTCCTGAACATGCTTTCCCCGCAGACCTGCGCTAGCTCTGTTTTGCTAGCTCGAGTCGCAAAGATCTTGCGTTCCCCTTGTAAATCTGACTAGTTACTACTTCTCCATGAAGTGCTGCGGGCTTTCGGGCTTCCCCTGGTTGCCTAGGATTTCAGTTTGCTCTTAAATTTTACTAACTCATGATACTACGGGAGAGAATGTAGGCTCATGCCGTGTGTAGAGTAGACTGCTGGAGTTGAAACGCTGTTCAGATGTGATGTTAAGTAAATCCTCTTTTTTTATACATACAGGTACAACAGAATAGCTCGGGAATGGACACAGAAGTATGCGATGTAATTAAAGAAATTATTGGATAACCTCTACAAATAAAGATAGGGGAACTCTGAAAGAGAAAGTCCTTTTGATTTCCATTTGACTGCTTTCTATGAGCCCACGCCTCATCTTCCCCTGTGCACATGTTTACCTGATACAGCAGTGCTGCGTGTTGTACATACTTGGAACAACAAAATAGAAATACTGTATTTCCCCGTACCAACATTGACTCCTAGCAGAGAAGTGTGTGTGTGAAAAGCTGGTTCTTCAGTCATAACTTTGTGAGCCTAAAAGCATTCCTTGTTGATTTAAATTGGGTCATAAAATGTGACTGGGAGAGTTCTGGTGGATTTCATATTTCTAAGGACCGTGTTGCTGATCCGTGAAGGATTTTAAGTGGAATCTTTTAAACTCATAATAGTTATGAAAAGCAAGGTGAAGAACTTGAAGCTGTTTCTGTATTCATTTTATTCTGAAGGACCTACACCTTAGGTAAATGTTATGACCAATGAGGTAAACTGTACCCGCATCCCGTGTTTAAGGTCTAAGTTTAACCGGTCAACATTTAAATGGATTGGAGCTATTAGTGCATCAAGTGATGTTGATTTGTTTCAACTCTCTCCCTCCCTTCATACTTCTTTTGGTTTGTATGTGGTTTCTCAGTTAATACATAGCTAATAGCTCATATTTTTTTTAAAAATTTTTTTAACTGCTTAGGTCTTTCTGGATGTAAGGGTAAAAATCCATTTGACAGAAAACTTGTGTATATTTAAAGACCCAACTGCTCCCCTGGAGCTTGTACGTTCAAGAATGATTAATCTGTGTAATAAACTGATTACTACAGTCATTACATATAACTTTGTGTGAATAGGCTTTTAATTTTAAGAGCAGTTTGTTACAGGCTAAAACTAATGGTGGATTTCTCTAAAACTCTTGCATTCACGGATGGTTGCATTTGGAAGTCGTGAAGCAGTTTTGGTTTGCATCACACAAGGCTGCGCACCTGAACAAGACAGACGTAAGCTTAAGCACTTACATGAAATCAGGATGTGTAGTGTGCCAGGAACTCGACTGTTAAACCAAATAAGCAGTTTACTAAATGAGAATCTGAGTGACATTTTACAAAGCCTAATGGTATTATTCCCACTTGCATGGGACCTAACACAATGTGTATGTACTGTAGGTAAGTGAAACCTTATGTAACTAAAATAATGGATGTAAAAGGGTAAAAAAAAAAAACAAACCTACCAAACACATCAGCACAAACTTTTCATAAAATGTAGCTTTTACATAATTACTTTGCACTAAACATTTGCAAATGTTCATACAGTTTTAAATTGTACTTGTATGTGTCTTTTTTTTTTGAACAAAGTCTTCACTTGAATCTAGTGAAAAATGTAGTTTGAAACTTTTCTTTGTATACAAGTGTATTTGCCAGCATCGTTGGTGTGACAGTAGGTGAGTCTGCAAGTTTATCTCCTCTTAGTAGAATTGTAAACAAAGCCATCGGCTGAAGGAGGGGCTGTAGCCTCCAGCTCTCCCGCCACAGGGGTCTGTCCCATCCGTTTTCAAATGCATCTTTACACTCTTGCACAAACGAGGAATAAATGTCCACTGCTTTTGGTCTAAATCTGTTCCGCTTGTCTCATCTCTCAGTGTCCTGGCGTGTGCCCGGCTGGACGGCAGCGCCATCCGGCGTTCTCGGTGT